TTGCGTCTTCTCTTCATACACTAAAGGTGGATCAGAATCCATGTTAAACTTCTGTGAAAGTTGTAAGAGAAAGTTTAAAGAAGTCGCATTAAATGAAAATTTGGTAATCCATCATGGTCAAAGTGGTGATAACATGTAAATGTGTATGTTGAAGCTAAACTTTTGCTCTATTAGTTATACCCAAGACAAAAATATCAGAATTACTGTAACAAATTAGTAATATGTGGCATGGAAGCATTTCCTTTTAATTTTCCTTATCTCCCTTTACTTGGTGTGTCACCTGGCAGAGATTGTCTTGTTTACATCCTACCAAATTAGTATCTGTCCTTCCTCTTCCTTTACTTGTTTTTCAACAGGATTGGGAAGTTGGTTTCCTCTGGAGCTGGAAACTGCAGATAAAATAAGCTTGATTTACAGTAACTAAAATAAAGGTTTTTAAAGGTTTGTCCGTGGTAAACCTTATTCCTAATTTTCACCGGTATAACACCCACACCCCCATAATTTATTATGCTAGCCCTAATCAATGCCATGATTCCTTTGATATATGATATATTTGTGTTTTGCTAGCCAAGAATGGTTAGAGCACCAGGTTTTTCATCTGTTAGATTTTTATTGCTGTCAGTGTCATTTAAGATTTACACTTGTTACCTGCTACTGTGGTAACATTGTCACCTGGAATTAAAGGAAAGTCTCCCCGACTTGATACAGAAACCAACAAAAAAAAGCTGATGGGGTTCTAACTATTTATTACAAATATTTATATAACGCCGACAATTTACGCAGCGCTTTACGTATTGTACATCAACATCAGTCCCTGCGGAGCTTACAATCTAAGGTCCCTATCTCGCATTCATACATATGCATTCTGCCAATAAACTCACTAGCATGTCTTTGGCGTATACCGGAGGAAACAGACTTATGCACAGGGAGGTCATGCAAATGTTATGCCGGTAGTGTCCAGCTTGGGAGTCGAAAAAGTTTTTGCTATAGAAATAAATGTTAACACAGCACTCCAGTTTTTTTTTTTTAAAAAAGGCCAATTTACTACACCCCCTTCCACACCACTTTTTAAATCCCCCAAATGCAAACCCTATTTTCTGGGGGTCTTTTGGGTGGTCACATGAAATCCTTGGGTCTTCTTCCTACAGTGGCAGTGGATGGTCTTCGTATTCCCAGAAAACTGCATTGACATCATAACTCTCCCCATTATTATAGTGTGATTCCAGGCTAGGTTTTTTTTTCTTTTGTGGTTTTTCTTTATTACAAAACTGGAGTTCTACTTCAGCTAAACGCCTAACTTCAAATCCTGTCTTGCATTGAAAGGACAACCTAAGTTATAATTATGGTAAGGGAACATAGACTCTAGTGGTAAGCAAGCTTTTCTTGATGAGCCAGTTCTTTAGTTATGTTTGTGTGATGGAAATGCGTGATCATCATAGGTCACTGCCGAGTTTGTTTATCTCCTTGGTGACAATTGGGCCAGTCCACACTACGCCATTTTACTTTGTAATACATTTCAATCTGCTCGTTAACATGACCTCTTTCATTAAACACATGGTGAGCTCACCATTGCCTTCAACTGAGATTGTTGTGGTGGGTATTGAAGGAAGGCAGTATTTTTGTGGTCAGAGAAAATACATAATCACCTACAATTCCACCTGTTGGTTTCAAGTTAGGCTAACATATTTATCATATTTTTTCCTGCAGACTGCTACTTATAATCTCGGTAACATTTTTGTCAACCACCCGAGGTCTTGGAAGAAGGAGTAGCACATTTATCAATGGTTTGACTGCATTTAGTTTGATAGCTTTACCAATCAATTAGAAGTTTTGTAGCATGATTTAGTATTGCACATATGCTTTAACTTACGTAATCCTTTGCTGGCCGGACCGACCGATCAGTTTGGGGTAGAGAATGTTTGTTTTTCCAAGAAGCATTCCAGTGAGAGGAATCCTATGATTTCATCCTGGTTATTTCTCATCTGATTCAACTCTTGATAAAACATAAATGATATTAAAGGATCAGAAATAACAGGAAGGATTAAATAGGCAATGTTAATGTTGCTGGGGGTCAGCTGATCCTCTTAAAACTTGTTCTGTGACCTTTACAGTAAGGATTAGTAATTGTGGAAAAACAAAAAAAATTGTGTGATGGTGAATGAAACCAGAATGTATCACTGAGATTCAGAATATGCTAAACCTGATGAGATGTTTTTATAAGTTTACGTTGTTAATGATCCAATTATAAAACTCCTCATAATTTTCTTTATCTGTAAATTCTAAAAACAATGGTTTAAGAGGAATGCATTAAAAGGAAAAAATTATTTTCCCTAAATGTCCTGCGTTATTTTTTTTTCACCAATATTTAATATTTAGTATTTTATATTGTGGTTTGCTTAAAGCCCAGGTCCAGCCAAAATGTTTTTCTTTAGTTTTGAATGGAGTGAGGAACTGAGGGCAGGTAAAAAAATCTGTGGGGTACATGCCATGTAAACGTGGACTTCTATCCCAAGTTGACAGCTGAGACAAATCCCTGTGCTAGAAAAGAGAACGATTTGCACCATATGATGCACAGATGTACTGACAGGTCTTTGCTTGGGCTGCAGTCAGTACCATATCTAGGGTATAGGAAACATGCTCGGTGCACTCCTGGACAGTGGTGGTGTTTGCCCCTTTTATCTAAGCTGTGCCTCATTCAGAGGTCTTGTCAGCACGGATCCTCTATGACCTTGGTTCTCAACTGGTGGGTCGTGACCCAAAAGTGGGTCGCGACCCCCGGTTCAGTGGATCGCCGCATGCCTTCCACTTTTCTAGGTGAGAGGCTCCTTAGCCTCTCCCTAGCCTCCCCCTAGCGCAGCATTGTCTGTTCTCACACCGAGCAGCCATTCAAAATATGCTGCCCGGCACTGAGTGTCAGCTTGAGGTGGGGTGGGCTGGGGGTATGGCAGCGAGGGAGCTCCATCCATACGTGCATTGCTTACAGTTTCCTTGCATGTCCTGTAGAGGTGCCTGGACCGGAGTGACATCACATTCTGGCTCCCGGCACCTCTACAGGGCACGCAAGGGAGCTGCATAAGCAATGCACATATGGATGGAGCTCCATCAAAGCACAGCAGCCCACACTGCCGGCATTCCACTGCAGTGCGACTTAAGTCGCAACTTAATGACCGAGGACAAATGTGGGTCCTGAGATTACACAGGTTGAGAACCACTGCTCTGTGACAAACAGCAAACCCCTATCGCTGCTGTCATGTGTAGACCGGGGCAGAGGAAGTTACACTACTCACTTCCTTTGCTGGGTTCCGACTGGTACCATCATCTAATCCAGAGCTTGGAAGTGAGTAGTGCAAGCATTCCTCTACCCTGGCTGTTTATTTAGAGGTGACAGCAGTGATCGGCTGAACTGTCTATCACTGCTATCACTATGGGTCTGCGCTGATCTGAATGGGGCACAGCTTAACTGGCACAGCTTAACTAAAACGGTCCTCATGTCTTATACCGGAGGACCAATTGCCTTTGGTGTCACTGTAATCACTGCGGCATCATTCTGTTAAGATACAAAATTAGCTTTGCTAGCCTGCTCCCTACGCATATACATTCCTTTTTTCACACCGCCTCATTCCTTATCCAATGCTGTATGCTCCCTATTCCCTATTCTGCTCTGGCTCATTCCATATGCCATGCTGTATGTTCCTTATTTCATACTGCTTTATTCCATATGCAATGATGTACATTCTCTATTCCACACCACTCCATTCTATATGCCATGCTGTACGTTTCCTATTGCACGTCACCTAATTCTATACACCGTGTTATACTCCACACTGCTAGATTCTGCACACTGTACTGTACATTCCCTGTTTATTCTGCACCAATCTAACAAGCCCAGCAACTCAAGTGTGCATGTGTGCCTGGGTGCGTGAGAACTGGGGTGTCGGATGTTTGCACAGGGGTGTCAATTTCAGTGCTTGCCATGGACACTCTTTACCATAGATACGCCCCTGGCTGCAGTTGAGGATTTACATATACTTCCTAAATACTCCTTCCTATATATATTCCTATATACAGGTATCCTGGGTTTCTAAAGAATGCAAGGTACATCTCAGGGTGCCTGCTGTTCAGCTCTTTATAACCATTAATATGATTTAAGGAACAGCTTCAAACAGCTGCAGGTCTATTCACTAAGTCATTGCCAAGATAAACTGAATGAAAGTTTGTAATATTATTTAAAAAAAGTTTGATAATTTCTACCTTTTGTAAATAAGTTCACTCTTGGACATTATATTATAGTCTGAACATAGAAAACATTTCAAGTGAATGTTTTTTTTTTAGCTAAGTATGATCCCTTGTATAAAAAACCTTTTGTAGATCAGCGTTGGCAGAAAAATCTGCAGAGCTGACATTTTTCAGCAGCTTTTCGCTGGATAAACAATTTTTCTTTTTACTTTATTTTTTTTATCTTACAATAATCAAATAACTGTACACAGTTAGTATGCACATTTACTGTACCTAGAAACAACATTTCAATACTGCCTGAGGCTATTGCTTGTTTATTTTGCACATCATTTTATTTGCTGTTGCAGAATATCTTTATTCCTTATCGAAATATTTTTCTTTATCTTTATTGAACTAATAATATATTTGTGCAAATGATCTTTTAAAGTCTGAGAAGAACTGTCATGAGTAGCTGTGTTGTTTATTCCATTGATATCTGAGATCTGCTTGTACGATAGATTGCATGATCTGAGAAATGTTTTGTCTGTCCTTCCAGTATCAAGTGGGCCAGCTATACTCTGTAGCAGAAGCCAGCAAAAATGAAACAGGAGGAGGTGAAGGCGTTGAAGTACTTGTAAATGAGCCTTACGAAAAGGATGGAGAGAAAGGGCAGTATACACACAAGATTTACCACCTACAGAGGTAATTTAAGTCTTTTTGTGAGTTCTTCAGAGAACACCATACAATGTGGTTACTAATGACTTTACATACTGTGTTTTGTAGTTCTTTCCTTTTCTCTTTGCTAGAAACAGGACATGGTGGCTATCTTATATGTAGGATTCAGTGTATCCGTAAGGCGATGGAAATTTATGAGGACTATGAGGCGAGTGGAAATCACTTAACCTCATAGTTCGAGCCGACGTGTGACAATGAAACTGTCACACGTTGGCTCAATAGATGGGGAAGTGAGCGGACGTATACCGCCGCTCGCTCACTTCTCGAGCATCTCCCTGTAGAGAGCCGTGACTGTTAGTCACCGCTCCCCGCAGGGATTCCCCCCTCCCCCTCCCCGCTCTGATCCTCCAGTGCTGAGTGGAGGAACGGACGGGGTGGGGCGGGTGCAGCTGGCTCTGCCTCTAGATAGGCAGAGCCCGCTGTCTCACGCAGCTTGGTGGATCTCGACAGCATTGTCGCGATCCGTCCTGGCTGCAGCGGTCTCAGTATACCGCGAGCCGTAGTTCGCTATATACTGAGCTTTGGCTCACTGGAGGACGCTAGTATATGTCTTCCCATGACCCTTAAGGGAACACTTACCCCATAGTTCTCTTAAGTATTGCCACATTATTAAATACAGTTTAGAATAGATCACTGCCGTTGGATGCATCTCTCCTGTGCTGTTAACTTGAATGGGTACAGCGGCTTTATAAAATATGTATAGCTGTATGTGGCTTTGCCAGCACCACCTGACTCAACAAAATCCAATTATTCATTGGACTTTTGCTGAAGGAGCCAGGTGGAAAAATATTGGCCGAACAGTGGCTGCAGCCAATCAGCTGTTTGGTTATTTTGACAGTGGCAGATGCCAGTTGTAAGAATATAGTACCCAGCAGGGAAGATTAATCTAACCACGCCGTTTAGCATGGATGAAGAAATCTGTTGGATATTCTTTAGTTCAGCGGAAGTCTATGGGTGGTATGGCATGCCTTAGGCACCGTGTGCAGGTATCTGTGCAGATCAGCTCAGTTCAACTGATGTTTTTTTGAACGAGCCCTTATTGTAGATATTGGATATTTTGTTTGTAGTCCATATGTTAGGACTGTTCAAGACGACCCTGGCAAACTGTGCGTTTTATTCCAAATTTGGTTACTTTTGAAGAGGTTTACGCCACATAAGAAGTGCTTTTGTTTTTCTTAGATGTATTTGTGAGTACAGCTCCATACTTAATCCTTCAGTCTGTGTTTACGAAATGTATTCCTCGTCTGTTTTGTGTACAGCAAAGTCCCGACATTTGTACGGATGTTGGCGCCTGAAGGAGCACTAAATATGCACGAGAAGGCCTGGAATGCTTACCCCTACTGCAGAACCAGTGAGTAGAGAGACGATAATCAGATGAATAGTTCTCCTGTCTCTTATTAACAATATGGTCCGTCGCAGTACAATCTGACTGCAGCCTCTTTGCTCTTGCTGTGACTTTGTTACCTAATCTGCATGTGCTTCTCACTTGCACTGCTCTTTTATCATGAATAATTCAGGCCATTTTGACAGGCATCTTGTTACCAAAGTTGGGAGAGGCGGGAGGGCTAAAAAGATGCTAACTTGGCACCAACATGTCGTATTTGTCTCCCTGAGGATATCTCCTTGCATGGTGGCATCCCTTGACCTACTCAGTTTAAAATGGAACAGTTTTATGTGTGACTTTCCTTGATAACTGAATTTAAACCCAGGGCCCTGACCTTCTAGAGAATCAGCTATGAGTACCTTGGCATTCTTGTACATGCTTAACACCACATTAGATATAATTGGTGTCCTGCTGTGAACCAGCAATGAAAAACAAAGTATCTAATACACTGATAATACAAGAAGCAAATAGCAAGGATAACAAAATATTGAATATATTCAGTTTCATAATCATTAGTAACTTTTCTTTTTTTTTTTTTGCATGTTGCATCGATCAGTAATTACAGTAAGTATTGGCTTTTATTTCCTAATAAAATAAGATTAAAGCAGATGTGAAGTCTAATTAAAAACAGACCAAATTGCGAGTTTTCGAGTATTTTTTCCATGTTGCATCGATCAGTAATTACAGTACATATTGGCTTTTAGCTTCTGATCGATGAAGACCAAAGATGATGTAACTTCTAAATAAAGAGAACACAGAGCAAATTGTCAGTTTTAGAGTACTGGGTTATGTTTAAGGACATTCTACTGCAAGGGTTGAAATGGTCCCAGTTGGAGCGAGGATGGGGGGGTTGTATAGTGATTTACAGCTCTCCGCTCGTTAAAGCAAAACTTTCGTCTCCAAAGTATGTTTTCATACAAATATCAGTTGGATCTCACCATATTTTGCTGCTTGCCTTGGGAGCCATAGCTTTGCTATGTACTGCATGGTAGTTTTGTTTTTAGGTCCCTTTTAGCTTAGCATTCCACCTGCAATTCTGATTCCCTAAATAGAGATACATAGAAATGCCTCCTCGAGAGGAGTTTTGAATCTCGAGGTGATGTACTAAGTTGCTCCTCTGGTATTCATAATCCTCTGAGAAGCCCGAAGGTGAATCTACTGCAATGAACTCTGTGTGAAAGTCATCAGTGGGCTTGCGGGAAAGAGGAAGCCAGCTGGAGCAAAAAACGGAATCGGCTTTATAGGGCCAAATAAGGGCTGTGGTGCGTGGAGGAAAGGGTATTCGTACCATCATACTATTGCTCATTGTATTTTTACATCTGATATAGTTCTGGACCTACTGAATATCCCTACGTTAAAAAAGAACTCCAATTAAACTTTTATTAACCCTTGCAGTGTGGCTACCCCAGCACTACAAGGGTTAGCTGCTTGTTTTCATCTTGCTGCTAAAATAACACGGTCATACTCACCCGAACCTCGGAGCGGATGAGTATAACTGTTATTTTAGCACCTAGATGGAACTTACCGGTTAACCCTTGCAGTGCAGGGGTAGTCTCAACGCAAAGGTTAATAAAAGTTTTGCCCGGAGTTCTCCTTTGACTTGCAAGTATGGCTACGTTAAGACTTGATAAGAGAAAAGGAGAAACTGCTTATCTTTCCTAGATAACATGCTGTTTTAGGTTCAAAGCAGAGTTTACTTTAGGTTTGGGGTGTTGAATCAGCCAGTCTGAACTCTGATCCTTTCCATTGGCCTATAGGTTCACTTTACCTTCTATGGGATAGCTGCGCATTAGTGAAACTTCAGCCCTTATCTGAGATCACCAGTGCTGACAAGGACTGCAGTAGGCAAACAAGTTTGCCTTTTTAATAAATAACTCCACTAAATTACATTTAATAGAGGAGTAGGGATGAGTGTAAACTTCCTATATGCTTGCATTTCAGCTGATTCATGTGAATCTTCTGAAATGAGAGCTGTGGGTTGGCCCCACTGAATCCACCCGGATGGACAGGAACTTGGCAGAAAGAGTTGGCTGAATATTGACTGCAGCCTATTAGCTGCAGTGACTGTTTTGGTATTCTGACAGCTGCGGGTGCTGTTGAGAATTCAGTAGCCAGCAGGGGGAAATTCATCTGTGCATGTTGTTTAGTGTTGGCTGAACGAGAGAAATCTTCACATGTATGCCTTTTCTGTTATTATATGGCTTGCATCTCTTCCCTCCTTTCATATATAGTTTTGTGCTGAGCACATTTGTTTTGAAATTCCCCTTACATTTCTGTAGTATGGAAACTCTGTGCACATAGGAAAAGCTGCAAGAACAATCGAACTGCTCAATGCAGAACTATAAACTGGTTGGACGGGATGCAGAAGGAAGTCATCTATACCACAGCAGAATCTCATCCCCATAGAGCACCTCTGCTTTAGGACTTGTGCACACAAACATTGATGATCATGCAGTACTTAGATAAAAATAGTAAAATTGGCTAAACATCTATTGCTTTCCAAGGTGAGGTGAAATCGGGAGTCTGTGGTAGTCTTTGCTTGTCTAGTCTATAATAATTAAAAGAGTTGTAAAGTCCCAGCATGTACTATCCCTGTTATAACATCAGCATTGTAATAGGAATACATATGATAGTTGTCTTTCATAATGCAATCAAAGCTTGCTTGAAAAAAAATCCTTTTATGTAGTCAGTGCTCCCTTCCATCTGCCCATCATTTTCAACATCTTCCTTGATTCCCAGTGCACTTTGCATCTTTCTCTGTTCGGTTTCTCTAGACTACATATCCCACCATATATTGCTTCCAGCAAGCAATGATGATGTTACATTGTGGGTGTTTCTTGTGCTCACTGTGAGAAAGAGTTGAGTTGTAGTTCAGACACCAGGCTTTGTGAGAGTTATGACACAAGGAAGTTCATATTCACAGGGCTAAGTGAAAATGTGTCAGTGCATTGAGGAAGTACATCCTATGGGCATCTTTAAGTATGTTTCCAAACTTCTAGATTGATATGGTTATTAGGAGTGGGGATAGAACTTATGGAAATTTAATATATAAATACATATTTATTTTCAGTTTTTGATCCTTTTAACAGCTTACTTTCAGTACTTTTTTTATTTTCTATTTTATTTCCTATTGTAGGCACCGGAAATTACACTTCAGGAATACACATCAAACTTTCCATTTCTGGCACTCTTGCATATTAGGGATTAGGTATTAGGTATTCATACTCGCCCAAATGCTCTCATACCTACCCCAATACTGGAACTGCCGATCAGAGGGAGATTCCCTCTGACTGACAGTGCCACGAGGGAGAATGAAGCCGGCTTCCCGGCCAATCAGTACCACTATCGGCATCCTGGTGTAGCGTGGGCCTTGCTTCTTGATTGGACAGGAAGCCGGCCCCACGCTACCCCTGGATGGCGATAACTCTGTATCGGCAGAGTACTGACAAAAAAATATTGGTACTCGATACCGGAAAACCAGCATACGCGCATCCCTAATGCATATGATTCCTTAGACAAAAAAAAGGCCCAAAGAGAATTGCTTTATAACATGCCTCGGCCTCTGGAAGTCATGCCTGTAACTGTCAGTCTTGCAATGCCTCATGGGAATTGTAGTTCCACAACAGCTGGAGGGCCCGAGTTGCCCACCCTGATTTATAGCCAGCTTTAGTTAGCAGTGATTTGAATTTGGCTCAAAAAGCAAGGTGTGTTCCAAGTTCCCGCGTTCCTTCACATAGGATATAATTTATTCTTTAATTGCTGTATAGTGCGTATTAAAAGAGTAGAAGATTCTTATGATGGCATTTGAAGTCCCACTGCTGCGACTGCTGTCTCAGCCAAGTGTGTGACCTTTTCATTTGTGCTCCACCACACTGTGGCTATTCATCCAGTGGATCCAGAACTGTTTCTGTTACATTCTAGTGCTTGTTATATTGCAGACTGATTACTTTCCCCTGGGAACATTTGTTGGTGGGTTCAGTGGGGAATGTTCTTGTATTAATAGCTTCGTAGTTCCCTCATTTGCAATTATCTCATGAATCAGTGCCTGCACTGCTAACAGTATTTTACATTGGGTGTTCACGTCAGGCCGGTGAACAATACCGGGATATATATAATGCTTATTCACTTAATTGTGCATGGTTGTGAAAATAATCTACTGATCTTCATGAAATAGGAACTAATCATTTTATCACATCGTCTCCCACTCCTGGCATATTCGCTGGATGCTGTTGTGCTGCATATTTTAATATATTTTCAGTGTGCTTAATGCAACTAATAGTCTTGGCACATTTAATTGCTAATTAAAGTGCACTGTAATATTTGTGAAGATGGCTCAGCAAGCGATTACCACATAATGACATGTGCTTACATTTCAGAATGAATACATGAAGGACGATTTTTTGATTAAGATTGAGACGTGGCACAAGCCAGATCTTGGCACACAAGATAATGTAAGTGTCACGTATAAAGCTTCTTCATTATTATCACTATTACCATGGGAATCTTTCTAATTACTACGTGTTAGATGTATTCTCAGTGTGTTGAAAGATCTAAAACACAGCCTGTTAGTTTGAGCTTTTTAAAGGGAAAGACATTTTTCATTTTGTAGTAGATAGCTTGCATTTCTTGACCAGGAGTCTCACTGACTAGGCTCAGGGACAGGGCCAAGCTCAACTTTTAAAAGAAAAGTGATGATTTGCATATAAATATTTATAAATTATATATATTCTCCAAGATGCTGTGAATAGGTCCGGTGCTGGGGTGCGTGTAACACCTGTGCACAGGTTCGGGAGTTATTCATCAGTGGCCACCCAATGACCGAAGAGGATGCCTGGGAACCCAGAAGTGTCAGC